TTTGGCCCTCCATTCACTTCCAACTCTCGATCATATATGAATAAAGTTTGCTCCATTGGATCTAAAGGCTATGTAGGAGCTACCTAGCGCTAGTTTTAGCAAGTGTGCACCACACCTAATCCCACTAGACTCACCTAGGTCAAGCTACCCGTCGGTACCCCCCTAATAGTATGGCCAAAGGAAAAAATAAAGTCCTAAACTATTCTAAGTGTCACTTCAACTCTAATCGACACTTAGAACTAGTTCATCCTTAACCTTATCGTCCATCCTTTGAAACCCGAAACGATTTCCATCATAGGGGCATGACCATCATGATAGCCCAATCGATCTCCATTACCGTGACCTAACTTAATTGCCTCTGCAAAACACACATTAGTCACAGTAATTACATATTGTCATTAATCACCGAAATCCAACTAGGGGCCTAGATACTTTCACGCGCGACGCCCGCACGTAAGTTGCAGGGGCCAACAAGACCCCGGTACGACGCCGTTGCCTCCACGATCTACAGGGTCAGTAGGACCCACGCGAAGTGGAGGATGGCACTCCCCCGGGAGCCTTATTTCTCTTTCTTTTTCCCTCTCTCCTTCGGCTGTAACCCCTGCTTTCCCTTGGCCTATAAAAGGAAAAGTAGGGCATCCCACTTAGGAGATCAAATCATCGCACACGGATTCATCGAATAAACACACCGCATCACACCAGAGACTTGGGAGCTATCTCTCTCTCGCCAGTTTGTAACCCCCCTACTACAAACTCAGTGTTAGTAACACGAGCAGTTCGAAACTGGACGTATGGACATTCAGGCCGAACTAGTATAATCCTTGTGTCCTCTTAGCACACCATCCGGGTCAGACACGTAACATACAAATTTACTAGCCGGTGCTTACTCGAAACACCGACAAGAGTTTTTTAAAAAAATCTTTAACCGCTCAGTTCTGTTGCGATATATTTGCTAACTTCTCCAGAATCAAAATGATCTTATAACATTTCGAACATAAATCCAGTGATGCAACTTTTTGTACCCTACTACATGTACAACTTGACTAATCATTGGTCAAATCGTGCAAATTCTGACATTTTCAAAACAAAATACCTCTTATATTGTTTAAGAAACAAACAGAGTACATTTATATTTATAAAATAATAGCTCTCACATTAAGGCCCTGTTGGCGCGGAACAATACCTGGCTATTACAAATTTGGGAACGAATTGTGCGGATTGAAATTATTCCCATATAACCGAATGATGCCTATGAGAAAGGGAAAATCTAGAAGACAAGAATTCGACCTGGAACCAACCAAAAAGCAGTGAAAGAATATGTTTTTTAGAAAGGCGGCAAGAGATTTGCTGGATTTTTATTAGACGAGCAAAAAGGAACAAGAAACAAGAATTAAAACAAACAATGGGAGACCAAGCTCACCGCCACCACGGCACACCGGCCGACAACTCTACTAAATACCAACCTAAACGACACTTAAAGTCTAGAAAAACAGCCTGAAACCGAAAGAACACAAAACTAGACCAGCCGAACAGTGACCAACAAATACTAGAACTACTCCTGTTGTGGTCCATCATGAAATCTTGTTGCCAACTGGTATTGCTCTACATCTTCCTTGCAAAGGAGTGCCACCTGACTATGCTGCAGCGACTTGTTCTGAAATGTTCTTCGATTCCTTTCCTTCCATAAATTCCACCAAAAATATATCATAATACCATCAAACGCCTTTCTCTGATCTTTGTCTGTCTTAATTCTGCACTTTCGCCAGTATTTGTGCAGGGATCCTGTCATTCCAACATTATCAATCACCGATAGGTTGAACCATTGCTTGATGAAGGACCAAACTTGCCTTGAGAAAGTGCAGTCCTTGCAAAGATGTGTCGGTGTTTCCGGGTCAATACCACAAAGCTTGCATACTGGGTCATTTGGCCAATTTCTTTTAATCAAATTGTTTGCCGTTAGGATTTTTTTATGTAGCAAAGTCCAAGCAAAAAACTACATTTGGGTTCTGCCTTTGCTTTCCAAATTGGTTGAAGTTTCACTTTGCTGAATGTGCCCTGGAATTGAATACAATAGGCGCTTTTGTCTGTGTATTCCCCATCCACCGTCCAACGCCAGCGGATGCTGTCCTCTGTATTCTCTATTGGCTGGATTTGGCTCACCTCTTCCCAAAGGGTTACGTATTCTCTTATTTCCTGTGCAGTGTCTAATGGAATGACATGTGATATCCAGCGGTTATCTTCCAAGGCCTTTTGCACCATGAGATTTTTCCTTTTTGATTTCTTGAACAATGTTGGTGCAATCGCTTTCGGTGTTCGCCCACCGACCCAAGACGACGTCCAGAATCTGGCCAACTTGCCATCACCACTGTCACCACTGTCGAAGCCACAAATAACTCCTTGTCACGGTCATCTACCGGAAGGTCAAGCTTGTTCCAAGCTCTATCTCGTTGCTTCCATTGATACCATAACCATCGTAGTCTCAATGCTCTTGCGAAACGTTCAAGGTCCAGAACCCCTAAACCACCTTTCGCTTTTGGTCTACATGTTGTTGGCCAGTTGATAATGGAATACCCACCATATACCTTGTCTGGTGTTTCACCCCTCCATAGGAAACTCCTTCTCAAGCGATCGATCTTTCGGATTAACCATTTTTGTTCTGGGAATGCGGTCATATGATAAATTGGTTGAGATGATAGAACCGTTTTTACTAGAGTCTCTCTCCCCGCTGAGGACAAGAACATGCCCTTCCAACCTGGCAGTCTGGCTCCTATTTTGTCTATCAAAGGTTGTACCTCTACACTGCGTAGTTTCCGGACATGTAGAGGAAGTCCTAGGTATCTCCCAGGGAAATTGCAAATCTTGCCAGGGAAATTTTGAAGTAATTGAGTGACCACTGTGTTGTCCATTCTTATAGGAAAAATTTCCATCTTGGAGATGTTGATTTTTAGCCCCGAGCATTCTCCAAAGAAGTTTAGTATCTTTAGTAGATGATCCAACTCTGTATTTGCAGGGTATGCGAAAATCGCTGCATCGTCAGCATATAGGGAGCACCGCAAATTAGCCACCTTCGGTAGCACCGGTTTAAGGATCCCTCTTTGTGCTGCCGCTTCAATTATCCATTGTAGTGGGTCGATGGCTAGAATGAATAAAAGGGGGGATAGAGGATACCCTTGCCTTAACCCCGCGTGCATGTCTAATACCCTGGGTCGGCTTCCCGTTGATCAATATTTTTGATGTTGTTGTTCCAAGTAGGGCCGCTATCCAATCCCTCCATTTTGTGCTAAAGCCCAAAGCTTGTAGCACCTCTAGCAGAAAGCTCCAACCTATGGAGTCGAAAGCTTTGGAAATGTCCAATTTGATGAACAACGCCGACCTTCTCTTTTTATGCAACAGTTGAATCACTCTCTGCGCGTAAATGAAATTATCATGGATACATCTCTTCTTGATGAAGGCATTTTGAGCATATGACACTAAGGAGTTCAAGTGTGGTGCCAATCTATTTGCTAGGATTTTCGTGATGATTTTGACTACACTGTTGATCAGACTAATGGGCCTGTAATCTGATAGAGATGTTGCATCTTGTATTTTGGGCAACATGACGATATTTGCTTCATTAATTAAGTTTAATCTCGCAGTCCGGTGATTGTAAAAACTCATGACCGCCTGGACCAAGTCCTCTTTTATAATTGACCAGCATTTTTTGTAGAACACACCAATAAAGTCGTCCGGACACGGTGCCTTTTCAGAAGGCATGTCTTTCACTACAACCTCTATCTCTTGCTCTGTGAAGGGCGCGTCCAAATCCTCTAGATCGTGATGTTCATATCCCAACTCGCTCCAATTAATAGCTCTTGTTCTTGTGGTTGTTGTCCCCAACAGGTTTGAGAAATGTGTATGTGCGAGCATGGATTTATTCTCTTGCGAGACCACCAGGCTTGTATCTCCCTTGAGTGCACCAATAAATGTTTTCTTTCTCCTTATGTTTGCATGCAATTGGAAGAAACGCGTGTTCGTGTCACCTTTGCGAATCCAAGTAAGCCTCGAGTGTTGTTGAGCTCTCGCCTTTTGTATCGCTGCTATCCCTAGTGCCTTTGTCTTGAGGTATTTCTTGAATTCTAACTCCTCTGGTGTCAGTATTCTAGACTCTTGAGCCCTCTCGAGATTGGCCAGTGTTATGTTGAGAATTGCCCAAGTAATCTTGTACCCGCCCAGAGATTTCCTCCTCGAGTTCTTGAGCGCTTTTGCTGTACGTATTAGTTTGACGTGAATGCGCAAGATGTCATCCTGTGTATTTACCGCTCTATTCCATGCTTCCTGTACCGTTTCAGTGAAACCTGGCATATGTGCCCAATGCGCCTCAAATCTGAAACCCCTATAGAAATCCAAAACGACATCCCCCTGAAGAAAGAGTGGGCAGTGATCGGAGCCCAGCGAAGCTAATGCTTGAAGGTCAGTTCTTGGGAATATCTCCAACCATTCTGTTGAAGCGAACATGTGATCTATTTTGGTCATTGTGGGTGTCTGTTGATTGTTACACCAAGTGAATCTTTTGCCTTGTAGGACAATCGGTGCAAGCTCTAGATTATCAATGGTGTATTTGAAGTTATTGAGCATTGACAAATTGATGCGTGCATTGTTTTTGTCTTGTGCTTGGTAAATTAAGTTAAAATCCCCAAGCAGTAGCCATGCTGGAAGGACATGCTGTCGCAGGTTCAAGATTTCTTGCATAAAAGCGATTTTATCTATATCGGCCTGGGGCCGTAAACTCCGGTAATATGGTGACACAATAATTTAATAGTAACCTCCAGCTGCAGGTTGCAACATGTTTTTGCAGTAATAGCGAAGTTGAAACTTTTTTCTCCAAGTTATAGTACAACTCAATATATCTATAGATCATTCAGCAGCAGCAACAGAAGAAGAAAAATTTCAAAGGTAAAAGAGATTATTAACAGGAGTTAATTACGCAGTTTACTGATTAGCAGACCGACCAGAACCAGAAATTACAAGTTCCACAGGAGGGTACCAACCGGCTGGGCCCATCCGTGGTCGCCGTCCGGCGCGAATCCGAACAGCTCGTCGGCATCGTGCGCCGCCGCCATAGCGTCCTGGTCGATCCACTCTGGGTCGCGCCAAGACGCTTGCGTAGCGTCGTCGTGGAACGAGAAAGGCGCGGTGCCGAGCGGCACAAGCAGCTCGGCGGCATCCTCGTCGAGCCGCGGGAGCTCGACGATCGCCTCGAGCTCGTCGTCTTGCAGCTGCCCCTCCATGGAGGCTAGCGCCGGGGTGGGCAATGCGGCGACGGTCGTCGCGGCAGAGGGGCCAAGCATCATAGATGGCTCCATGGCGGCGGCGCGGGCCGCGGCAGCCTGGACGTCACGTGGCGCGGCGGAGGCTGGGCGAGGGAGCGCCGTGGCCATCTCCGGGAAGTTGAGGACGGCGGCAGGGCCCTTGACCACTAGCGCGGCGGCGTCGTGCGCGCGCGCCGCCATCTCGGGCGTCGGGAACGTGCCGAGCCAGATGCGCGACTTCTTGCGCGGCTCACGGATCTCCGACACCCACTTCCCCCACGCCCGCATCCGGACGCCGCGGTACGACGGGTGCTTCCCGCCGTCACGCTCACGCGCTCGCTTCTCGCATCCCGGTGAGCTGCGCCTGGCGGCCGTCTCAGCTGGTGACAGCGGCGGTAAGGAGGAAGCCCCGGATGACGCCGGGCTTCTTGATTCCTCCCGGTCCGGCATTGCAAATCGATGGCAATTCCGAGCTCCGCTAAACTGCCAGCTCTCGCACGGAACGTTTCTTGGAATAGCTAGCTGCCAGTGCCAGCTAGTGTTGTAAAGATGGAGCTGCGCGCTGCAACGACAGAGCAGGAAAATGGATGAGTGAGAAAGAAGGGCTGGAGAGGGAGACGACATTTGTAGTGAATGGCAGGTCGCAGGTGGGTGGACACAAGACAGACGTGTGGCAACAAAATTATATACATACCGTACTTCTGTCTCAAAATAAATTAACTTCCCGTTTCAAAAAAAAACTGTTAGTACAGTATTTTAAAGTTAATTAATTTATATAAAAAGAGTATCAACATCAATGACACTAAATAACTACATAAATATATATATTTTAATATGTTCTAAAGACACTATTTTGCTATAATAAATATTGGTGTTTTTTTTTATAAATCTAAAAATTTGATTTATTTTAAGACGAAGTGAGTATTAACTTCTCAATCTTTTACTATTTTTTCTATACTCCATCACTCACCATAGACCGAATCATCACTGACGCCTCTAGCATTTACCTAGCGGCACCTCCAGTTGGATGGAGATCGAGATCCTGCAACAGATCAGAGAGCAGCGCCGACGAGGGCAATTCCACCACCTAGGCCTTAGGCCTTGTTTAGATTGTAATTTTTTGCAATCTGGATATTGTGATATTGTACCACGTTTCGTTTGTATTTGACAAACTTTGTCCGATCATGAACTAACTAGGCTTAAAAGATTCGTCTCGTGATTTACAACCAAACTGTGTAATTAGTTATTTTTTTTACCTACATTTAATGCTCCATACATGCGTCCAAAAATTAATGTAATTAAGAGAGAGTGAAAAAATTTGGAATTTTGAGACAATCTAAATAAGGCCCTAGCAGCCATGCAAAATTCTAGCTAGATAATGGGATACATCACCCTCTCGGTCCTTACTTTGGTTTTTCTAGCTACATTGTTCGGCTGATCCACTTTCAGCTGATTTCGGCTGATTTCGGATGATTTAATAGTGTTCTGTGAGAGAGAATAAATTGAAACAAATTGAAACAAGCTGAAAGTAGTTCAGCCGAACAGGCTATCGATATGTTTAGATACAATAGTAAAAGTTATCTATCTAGAAAAACCAAAATAACCTATAAATGGCAATAGAGGGAGTACAAAATCGAATTCCTACTGTGTTTAGCCAAACATCATTCAAGTAGGCAGGCCCGTATATTGACAGGAGCAAGTGGGGCAACGGTTCAGGGCCACCAAAATTACAGGGCCTCCAAATTTACACTAATAGCAATAGTTAATCGTTGAATAGAAAAGATAACACGCGGCTAGACCTACAATCACTGGTTTGTGGAGTATTGGCCCAGTGTAAGGCCCGTTGTTGTATCTTGGGTATTGTTGTATCTTGGATAGCAGAGTAGTCAATTAGATAATCTGAAAATTTGTATTATAATAATGGAATTAGAGAGGAGATTTGTTTATTTCATTGATCTTCATCATGTCTTTTAGAAATATGACGTATGATTCTGGTCATGAAAAGCGTAACAAGAAACACTACCGGAAATATCCACTTCTATGACGAAAATCTTAATGACGAATCCAAAATCGTCATAGAAGAGCGCTTTTTATGACGAATATTTTCGTTTCGCCATAGATTAGTGGTGATGATCCTCCAACCCTCCCTATCTATGACGAAATCAGGCATCGTCACAAAAAAGGTCATAGAAGAGCACAGGGTTTCGTCACAGATCACTCGCACGACTCATCTGTGACGATCTCCTTTAATACTGTAACGAACAGGGCTTCGTCATTGAACTAATTATACATCTGTGACGAACAATATTCGATTTGTAATGAACGACGCTTCATCGTAGATCTTCACATGGTACTTTCTCCATCAGACGTGTACCTGTGGGACCTGCAGTTACTCATCCGTGATGCTTGCAATTCATCATAAAAGTCTCCGCTCGATCCTTTCTTCATGCGACGTGTACCTGTGGAACCCTTCTCCATACGACGTGTACCTGCGGGACCTGTAGTTACTCATCCGTGACACTTGCAATTCGTCATAAAAGTCTCCGCTCGGTCCTTTCTCCATATGACCTATGGGACCCGATGGCTTACGTGTCACGTGTACCTGTGGAACCGTTCTCCATCTCCATCCGACCTGTGGGACCCGATGGACCTATGGGACCCGATGGCTTGGGTGTCACGTGTACCTATGGGACCTTCCGACCTTTGGGTCCCGATGGCTTACGTGTCATGTGTACCTATGGGACCTTTCTCTATCTCCATCCGACCTGTGGGACCCGACAGCTTGTGTGTCTCTTGTTGCCGCCGGGGTATAGTAAATTCAAACTAAAAAACCATGAAACCTGGGAGTCGAACCTGGGACTGAGAGCAAGGAATAGACCATCTTCACCATTGCGCTAGACGTCTAGTTGTGTTGACATGTCTTTGGAGTAGTATATGTTCTCTGTGTGGATAGGTTGACTTATATATTGGATACATCCCCTGCAAGTGGAAACAAATCTGTGCCCGTTGGACTTACGATGGCGGCGGCAACGGAGGATCCCCATTGTGGTGTGGTGGCTCAGGCGTCCTTTTGGAGGCTAGGCGGCGGGTCTTCCCGGTGGAGCACGGCGGCATTGGCGTCCGTGTCTGTCGTGTGCCGCGGCAGAGGCGACAGATCAAACCCACTGGTTCCTGTTCGCTTCAATGTTTTGGTCCTTGCTTGAACATGAGGTATACAAGAAATATTGTAGCATTTGAGATCTGGTTAGGCCAATGATGATGAAAAGAACTAGGAGGTGGCACTGGTTTGTTTTCTGCCAGCGCGTGTCACTTGTAGATCTGTCTAAGCAAACAAATAGGCCCTCCGCTTCTGCTTTAAACTATTTTTCTGTCCAGTGCTTGCTTGATTCTATATTTCTGTTTCATATGCTCCAGTGTCACCAGTGAGTCCTTATGGTATTTTGAACCTGTAACATATCTAAGGCCAAATTTCTGTGACAATGATGTCTACATGGCTGTTGGATATATTAGGATGCAGCTCATATGTTTGCTTTTTGTGTCTTCTCCTTGTTGACAACCAAGTTATCCATTTGGTTCCAAACTAGATGAAGGCATCGAAAGCAAATCAATGCTTTGTGTCCATCATTCACATGATTGAGGCCACTAATTAATGTCTAAGCTACACATGTTGGTACTGATGCCAATGATGATCACTACCACATGTTCACTGATATTCTACTTGTGAAAACTGAGGCAGCCTGTTCGGGTTGTGCAGATTTGAGATGAGTCATCCCTGCTATGTTGTGTTCGATGCCCATGAGCTAGGAGTTTACTATAACTGGCCTGACTGCCATAGATAGGTTCATAGGTTTCATGGTGCTTGTTTTAAAAAATACAACTTCTATGAAGAAGGAATTGCTGCCTTCAAGTCATGAACCAACTCAAATCTAGCCTTAGCTCATGATGATGACTTCTATTTTCAAAACCTAACAGCTGCTCCACCCTCTTTGCTCTTCAAAACTGTTGTAATTGTAGTCCTCTTAATGTTTGTCTGTCTCCTATGGAAGAAGTTCTAAGCTCGTGTACTGTTTGTAAGTGTGATGGTTAGACTTGATTTAGCTAGAATTGTAATAGTTACTGTAACAGAACCGACCAAATCATAAGAACGTAAGTACAAAAACAATCACCGAAGCGATCAAATTCCTGTACTTAAGCTCCCATAATCCCGGTAGTCTGGAAATCACGAAGGATTTCAACCAACTCTCGACATACAACCAAGATCGTAGTGATTCAACACAACACATCATTCGTTACAACATTTCACAAGTAGCATTCGAATTACATCCATCAGAGTTCAAATAACATATTACAAACCAAGTTTGAGTGTGCGGAAGCAACATAGTTTAGTACAAAACATCATAGTTTTCAAATATATTGCCAAGTCTGAGTCATGTCCCACAAAAGCATTATCAGGTATGAGAACTAGTAGAGACCGTGCCCAACGGTCTAGTCTTCATCCCCAGCTGGGAGAAGGCAGTACTTGCAGCAACCAAAGTAGAACTAGTCATCTGCAACAGGTGGGAGATAAACCCTGAGTACGAGAAGGTACTCAGCTAGACTTACCCGATGAAACCAGAAATAAAAGACACCAAGGATCATGCAAGGCTTATGAGATGGGCTAGCTTGACACAGTTGCATAAAAGAGCTTATGAATATAGTGACCAATTTAAACTTAGCATCAAGCTTATCATCATTTACCTGTCCACTAGGTTAGCACCTGTACTAGAGCACTCACTTATTAGGAGCAAACAATATTAACCATAGCAGGTATAATAAGGCTGTCATCATCTTATCATCCTTTCTGAACCATTATGTTATTTAGTGCGTCTACATTGGAGATAAGCCCGTCAAGTTCTCACTAACCGGGAGAGACGGCGACTCGAATCGAATTACAACTCAGCTGAGGGGGTATTCCTAACTCTCACCCTGGCATACTTAGCAAGGGTAGCCGTGGGTCACCTTTGGAACAACTCAGGAACCAAATTCGTGGGTTCGATCAGCGCCAGCACTCTCAGGGATTACCCTTCTGCTAGGACGATCAGGACTTTTAAATCACCTGCCCTTGGACTCACGCCTACGGCTCCCTTCTGAGGCGCACTTTATACTTATCGACTCCCGGCCTAAGGTGAGCTACTCGGCTTTGTGGTCGGTCTTCGAACACGGCCAACTAAGAGAGAGGCATGCGTTCAACATGAACAGGAAAGGCTCCAAGATTCAGTCCTTAATCGACACAGACGGAGTCACTACAAACCGGCAAGCCTCCGTCCGGTCTTCATTTCAAATTAAGACTGGTTCTTTTCCACGATAGCAAATATAGCCAACCGTGCCATATGTATCTTCCTATATCTCGCAGGTGATAGGACATCACCTGACTTCTACCATGTTTAAGCAGGGCTAAGCACTACATGAGC